TATTAGATTCCGTTACAATGCCAATTTCAAAAATTAGTGAAAGAGCCCATTCAGTTCTTCAGGTTAATGTAACTGCAAATTGTGATGTACTTACTTATTTGTGGGGATTTCAACCTACCAAAGCTATCATGGTGCAATGACGAGCTTGGTTCGATGCCAATGGGCAATATAATCCCTCAAGTACAGTCTGAAATCCTGAATGTTTCTAATTTTAATGAGGCTTTAAGCAAGTTTTATGATGTTGTATATCATATTATTCATATTTATGTTCCCAAATGTAGATGTAAAACTCCTAAATTTCCAAGATGGTATAATGCTGAGCAAGCTCAAAAGCTCAATATTTCAGAAGAAAAATGCTCAAAAGAGTCACAAGCAATACAAAAAGACTAGATCGTCTGCAGATTATTAAAAATTTTCTATCCTGTGACATCAATGCAGGAAATATGCTTCTACAAGTCATTCAGAATATATTACCAGACTTGAAAATGCAGTTACAAATAAAAAAGAGTTTTGGAAATTTATTTACTCGAAAAGAGATGGCTTAAATTTACCAAATGCTATGGCACTTGAATGACTCAACCAGTAACTTCATGGAATCTACTATTCATCTATTTGCTGAGCATTTTTCTTCCACCTATACAGGTATGAGAGTGATACAAATGCCTGTGAAGATAAAGACAACTGTTTTGATTTTTTTTCAGATTTTGAATACTGTACTTAATATTACCAGTTTTGATGTTCTTAATTCCATAGAGGAGCTAGGCAATAACTTAGGTTGTGGACCTAATGGCAAACCAATTGAATTTTTAAAGGGCACAAAATTTGTATTATCTAATATATTGCCCATGTTGTTCAATTTTTCTCTGTCTAGTGGAGTTTTCCCAGATATATGGAAATGAAGTTATGTAACACACATCCTCAAAAATGGTCCTAGATCTGATGTAAAAACTACAGAGCAATCTAAAAAAACTCAATTCTATCTAAAATGTTGGAATCTTTTGTAAACAAATGCCTATATCCACTGCTTTCATCTCAGATAATCCCATCACGAACAACATGGATTCTTAAGAGGAAAATCTACTATAAGTAACTTGCTATAATATCAGCAGTTTGTAGTTGAAGCTATCGAAGAATGTTCCCAAGTGGATTCTGTGTACACCAAAGATCTGTGTACACTGACTTTATGAAAGCAAAATTTTATTGTATGCAGATGACATTGCTTTGCTATGTGGTGTCAGTCTAATAAGTTAAAATTCAATGTAGGTAAATGTACAATTAGTTTCTACTGGTTGAAGATACCCATTGTATAATCCTATGTATTAAATAATCAGGAACTGATTAGAGCGGAGATCATAAAGGAGCTTGGGGTGATGCTTAATAAAGAATTCACATTCCGACCTCACATAGAATACCTAAAAAAATAGGTCGAATAAATTGATTGGATTTGTCATTCGTTCTCTGCAAAATATTTCAATAACATATATATATGATTGATGAAATTGAGAGATTCAAAAAAAAATTTCTGCATCATGTAGCATATCGACTGAGTATTCCAAGAGATGAACTTCATTATAGTGACATATCGGCTCTCTTAGAGATATCGTCACTGGAAAAAACAGGATTGTATTTTGATCTATGCACATTGTTCAGGGGTTTGAACGGTTTAATTGTTTCGCCGGCATTGTTGCAACTAATTGATTTTAAGGTACCAACAAGACAAACTCGACAAAATATAACCTTTGGTGTTTCCTCTCATGTAACAAATTATGGTTTTTATTCACCTATTATCTAGAATATGCAGAGAAGCAAATAGGCTTCCGCCTACTGTTGATTTTTTTAACTCCTCTTTCAATAAGTTTGAGATAGATGTTAAGAACTATGTACTTATACACGTTCACTACCTAGCGTTCAAGGGCTGTCATTTGTTATAGACCAAGTATAATATCTTTAAAAGTATTATGAATATTTGAACGATTTTTAGACAGATAAGATCCGTTGGTGTTACTGAATAAAATTCCGCAATTTTGTTTTGAGGCCATTAAATTGGCCACTGGTCTGTCAGTGGTGCTTGACATCAGAATAGACCAACGGCCATTTTAATGGCCTTGAACATAATATAGGAAAATACATCTGACTCCATGAAATATATTACAGAAAAGTATCAGTCTCAGTAACCCATATTTTACTTATTAGTATGTGAGTTTGGGCACCTAATTCAGCAGGAATGCCGACAATACCAGCTGATTTATTGTTCTGTAGTTGTCTGATTGTCTTTTCAACCTCCTCTAATCTAGGAACCTCGCTCAGTTCTTGTTGTATTGGTTTCTGTGGAATTCCGTTGAAGATATCATCTGTAATGTGTGATTCTCTGTTGAGTAGTTCCTGAAAGTGTTCCTTTCAACGAGAATTATTAAAGGAACTGTCTTTAAGCGGTTTTGTGCCATCTTTGGATCGTACGGTATTGAGTCCTTTACCTTGGAGTGGTTGGTCCGATGAAAGTATAAAAGGAAACGCACTATAATACACCTGGCATGTATCACAAAATACAGCAACGCTAAAGAACCAGAGGCCACTATAGTGGCTCTGCGCGGACAAGAAACATTAGGAATGGACCAAAGTACCTAATAACCGCACCATTCACGATCCTCTTCAAAATTTTAGTGAATAAAAGAATAGGAATATATATATGGCCAGATTAGTGGCCGCGGTCCACAACAGGAAACCGTAATGACCACTATAGTGGCCGGCGGTAGTGAACGTGTTAAGTTTAATGTAAATTAATGTTATTGTAAATGGTCTTTGATTGTTAATAAATTATTATTATCATTATTATTATCATAACAATAATTAATTATAACTAGATTAACAATAATAAATCATCTAAGTATATAGACGAAATAATAGCACAATATCACAATTTGGATCGTAAAATGTTGTTACAGTATCTATCAAATGAACTTCCAAAAGGATCAATCGCAGGGTGAACATTTAGTAGAGCAAGACCACAGGCGAGAGGAAAATGACCCCCATAATTAGTTCTATGGACAGTTACAGAGAAGACCTCGCTTCTTCTGAGAGGTTCGCATGTTACTACCGATTTTACTGAGAAGATGAGGACAGTCTATGTATCCGTTAATCAGTTTATAAATGAAGTACAAGTCGGAAAATGTTCTCCTGTTCTCAAGTGATGGAAAACAAAGATGAAGTTGGACATCTAGTTTATCTGTCATATCAATATAGGCATATATAGGCACAATATTTAATAAAATTGCATTAAACTCTCTCAAGTTGGTCCTTATAGATGTTATGAAATGGTTTATAGATGTTATGAACTGGTGACCATACAACTGAAGCATATTCTAAATGAGATCTTACTAAAGAGCAGAACAGTAAATGGAGTGAGTTCACAGACAGATCCCTACCAACTCTGGAAATAAGGCCTAGCATCTGAAACGCTTTACTGATTATACCTCAGATCTCTAAAAGTAATTTCAGAATCGAAATATATCCAGAAGTCTTTGATTGAATTTACGACATTCAACTCTTCTGAGGTTATATCAATAACACCAGATTCAAAATCTCCAATCCTAACCTACCCATTTCTCCCTGTTAGCATACTCTGGAACCATTCCACTGTTTTTTCACTAAAACCAATAGCTGGAAGCTTGGTCACCACAAGTAAGTTATGATTTACCCTGTCAAGTGCCTTGGAAAAGTCTGTATAGACTGCGTCCACCTGAAACACACTCTTCGACTTCAAGGCATCAAGGTAGACCTACCACTAATAAAGCCGTGCTGACAAATATCGGTAAATTGTTTACATTTCCAGCTTAATTGATCATATACGGCTACAAAGTAGTTTGGGAATTGCAGATTGCTTGGAAATTCCCCTGTAATTACTTACACAATCCCTCTCCCAGGACTTAAAAGTAGGAATTATAAAGCTCTTTTCGCAAATCCCCGGAAGCTCACCTTCGGCCAATGACTTATTGAACAGTAGCCATAGTGATGGGTATATCACATGCAACTGGGCAGTTCATGTGACCTACTCTAAGAAATCACAAACGACCAAAAATGTCTGGGATTCTCAGAAATACCAAGCTTAGATCTATAGAGAAAAAGTGCATAATCCCTCTGTACTAGAATTTTATATTTAGATTTTAGATACGAGAACCTCGCATTGTGAGTTTGAGATCCAGATTCACAGAATTCTTTATGAGCCTTTTTTGTCAATGATTTCTTAATTCGGCAGAGAAATAATTTGGAAAATTGGAACTTCTGTAAATTATACAAGGTATTCAAAGCTTCATTCAATATTATGTAAAACAGGCCAGCATAGTCGTTTCATATACTTACCTTGCAAAGCAGGAGACTTCAGGCGGATCTTTCTTTCCTTTACAAATTTTTGAAAGGGGTTATTTGACTGCCGAGATCTTTCGGGTCTTTTTTCTTTGAGAGCAGGAGAAAGAAGGGTGAGAGGTTCTGACCTGTTTCTGAACCATTCCATAATACTAATTATGGTATCAATGAGTCGATCTCAAGGGCGCTCAGGTTTGCCATTGCCAACCCAAGGAGCTGGAGTATTGACATTGTCCTTCTGTTGTTGCGTTTAAAAGGAAATTGGTACCATTGCTTACTGGATAGTTCTTAAAATAAATTGTATTGGTTTTTTTTTGTTTGGGATTCACAACAATTGAATAGTTATAAACTTAATAAATTCATCAGGATGTTGTTGTTATGAGCTTAGGTTTAGTTATGTTGTAAAACTATATTGTTAATTGTTTTTTTATTGTTATTGTAAGTTGGCCTTGCCGTAAATAAATAAATATAACAATGAATGAAGAAATCATGATGGAATCAAACTACATATTTTGCTCCTTCGAGATTCAAACATTTAATCTAATGTCTTGGAATTATAAGATCTAGAATCTGTCTTACCTACGCATTATTTGTTTCCTAAGTTCCAGTTATTCAATTTGTTACCAATAATTCTATTACAGGTCCAGAATGTCCAGTATGTCTCCAACCCTATGTCCATCCAGCCCAACTGCCTTGCGGCCACATTTTCTGTTATTTATGCGTCAAAGGCTTCGCCAATCAAAGTAAACGTTGCGCCATGTGTAGACAAGAAATCCCCAGGGACTTTTTCGAGCAGCCTCACCTACTACAACCTGTAGAAACCGTTGAGGAGAATTTCGACGGAGGCTACCAATGGTTTTATGAAGGTCGAAATGGTGAGTGGTTTTTTTTTGACTGTTTCAAAACACTTCTATTTGTATGAATAATTTAGGTTGGTGGAAGTATGACAGTAGGTGCACAGAAGAAATCGAGGAGGCATTTAAATTAGATTTAGATCAGTTTGAGATGATTATTTGTGGTGAATTGTATGTCGTTGACTTTAAGAACCTTGTTCAGTATTCTAAAAGGTCTCCTAGTAGGACGAGAGCGATTAAAAGAGACAGGCGAGATAATTTGATTGTTAAGGGTGTTGCTGGTCTGAAATAATCCAAAAAGTTGACATTCCTATTTTGTATTATAAGTAGCCATGATTTATTTGAACAAAAACGAAACTAAACGTCAAAGAAAATATAGAAATGATTATCAGAAAACTAGTATAAGTCTAAAACAATGTCGTTCTATGGTCTTTCATTCCACCTGAAGTGTTTTTTCTCAACAACTTTGGTGGATCTTTTGCCTTGTTTTTGTAAAATACAAAGACATTTTTTTGTTTAGGGGTATTTATTAGATCCATAAAGCTAAACTAAGTTTCATTGCCCTTGATATTGAGTCTTTGTATTTTATTTTATAATTTGACAAACAATTTCGATACTTTGCCCTAACTATTATTATTTGTTCTATGTAGTTTTAGGTAACAGATTTAAAATGCTCATAATGTGTTGATCACAATTTATTTTCATGGTGCCTAATAGTATGGGTTTTTATTTTTTTATAGTCAATAAATTTCTAAGTTTGTTCCAAATTTAATCATTCCCATAAAAAAAAATATTCCATTGTAACAGGTGAGATACAACTTAAATACAAAATATGTTTGTCGAAAAAAAATCAATCTCGTTTCAGGTTGGTGGCAGTACGACGAACGCACTAGCAAGGAATTGGAAAATTCATACAAAAATGGGGATAAAAGTGTCGAACTATTGATTGCTGGATTTTTGTATATCGTCGACTTTGAAAATATGCTACAGTTGAGAAGGAACGATCCTTCAAGACGAAGACAAATTAAAAGGGATGTTTCAACTATATCTAAAAAAGGTAAACATGGTATACAGCCAGTAGTTTATCTTATTCTATATTTTCAAATCTAGGTGTTGCTGGAATCAGATCGCACAACCCCCAATTACAACAGCCAGAAATAAGACCTTCAAGTCCAACAGAAGGTCGTAGTGACAACGATCATCTGACTCCAACAACGCCGTCAAATACCCCTCAAAGTCCTACAAGTGGCCGAGAATCTCCGAGTCGTAACGAGCAAGACTTACAAGCCACCGTCGAACTGATTAGCAATCTGAGGATCGATTCGGTTTATTGCAATAGATCTGATGCCAATAATTCCGATAATGGTAATTCTGATGTCGAATAATCTTTTGACTTTTTGAAAAAATGTATTTTATGATGGTTGAATTGAATATATGATTTTAATTGTTGAAAAAAAAAAGTTTACTTTTATTTTATGCCTTCAACTAGAGTGGACATTTAGAAAAATATTCATTACTAGAAAGCTTCTTTATTTCCAAGATATACAACATAATATAGAACTAATAAATATAACTAAATAACAAAATAATAATTAACATAAAATATATATTATATCACTTTGGGTAAATTAAACAATTATTTATTTATCAATTTGTAAAACAGAAAAAAAAAATTAAAGCAATTGGTAAAGTTTTTGGTGTAAAATAATATTTGTTGAAAAAAGTCTGTGATGTATTTGATAATGCTAGGTAACAAAGGCTCTTAGTCTAGGTATAGGCCTTTGTTCTTATTGCAAGTAATGGTAATTGGCTAAATTTTGATAGATTGAACAAAGGCATATACTAACCTGAACAGAAGGTAATCAAAATGTTTTTATTAAAAATTATATTTGCCTGTACAGGGTGGTCCAAATTGGACACTTTCTTATGGAAACACCCTTTATTTTTAGAGATAGAAAAAAATGAACCACCCACTCTGAGGCTCAAATTTCATGAAATTTTGATTGGTGCAAACCGCATTTTGATATCTTCAACCGTTTAGCCGCTAGAGGGCGTTTCTCGATTTTGAGCAATACTGTGAAACCTTCATAACTTTTTTGTTTATGAAAATAATTGATTTCCGTAAAGACTTCCTAGAGGCACTTTTTTAAGATGAATTCAGTGACGTTCTCAGTTTTTTTCTAATTGACTCGGATTTCGAGATATTGATCAAAATTCGATTTTTTTCAATAGAACACCCTATATATTAATAGCTTATTGGAAAACTCTGCTGACCTTTCTCGTTTTCCTTACAGATATAAAGACCTTTTCCAACACATTGTGTCTTATGACAAAAATCGAAATAATTTTTTTCTCGGAAACCGTTGGAGATAAACGTATTGAATTTTATATCATTGAAATCAGCAAAAGCAGAGCTTTTCAATGAGCTATTAATATATAGGATGTCCTATTGAAAAAAATCGGATTTTGGTCAATATCTCGGAATCGGAGCTAAATAGAAAAAAACTGAGAACGTCACTGAATTCCACTTAAAAAAGTGCTTCCAGAAAGTCTTTACAGAAATGAATTATTTTCATAAATAAAAAAGTTATGAAGGTTTCACAGTATTGCTAAAAATCGAGAATCGCCCTCTAGCGGCTAAACGGTTAAAGATATCAAAATGCGGTTTGCACCAATCAAAATTTCATGAAATTTGAGCCTCAGAGTGGGGGGTTCATTTTTTTCTATCTCTAAAAATAAAGGGTGTTTCCATAAGAAAGTGTCCAAATTGGCCCACCCTGTACATACAAGACGTTTTCCTCGTGAGTTAAAACACAAAATTTGTTGTTCAAAACTCCCTATACTACATATAAGGATAAATTCTTTACTAGGTTTGTGATGAGTGATCTGCCTGCGTCGTTGTTGATTCTTGTCGTTGATGCTGGACGCCGCCCCACAACCATCCTAAAGCTTTATTGATGTTAGAAAGCACCCAAGGAAAGAACTCTGCACTTTCCATTACTTTTCCGCACATACATTTTAGGTAATCGGTACACTGGGTTAAGGAATATTTACTCTTTAAGATTATTAATGATTTATATAAGGTACCTGTCCCAAATAAGGCCACATTAAGAAGTTTTATTTTTTCCTAACATTATCCACCGAACCCAACAAAAATCACAAGCTTATATGTGAAGTGTTTGGCTTCTATTACATGAATATTAACTCCAATTTATTTATTTTCTTATATAAGTGGTGGTTTTTGCGTGAAATAAAGACGCTTACCATTGGCCTTATTTGGATCACTATGCTCCTAATAAGGCCACCATTAAAAAATGTTTAAAATAAATACAATTATTCATAAAAATATTATTATTTGAGAAATAGTATACAAAATAGAACTTATACGTTTGCTGCATTCCTAAAAAAAAACATAATTCCAAGTCCCGGGATGGTGATCCATATAGGTCTAAACATACAACTAGAAAAAATGAACCGCAGCATCTCTTGCCTGGTTAGACTCCATCCAAGCTCCAGGCATTTCAAAAAACATCACTTAGGTAATAATAAAATAATATGACACATTCTTTTAAAAAAACACTGTGATGTGAAGCCAATTGAACATTTTTCGTATGATGGCCTTATTAGGAAAATGTTAAATTGATAAAGAAAAGTCTGTAACTAGAGAGCAAGCAAAATCAAATTCTGTACTTACTCTGTAGCTTTCTCAATACATAAATATCCGTTAAAAAATTACAATCGCTCCATTCACTTTGTAAACATGTATATAAGCTAATTGAGTTCTAGCCTTAAAGTTATAACGTGATATATATGAAATATGTGGTTGGCCATCTTTCGACATATGACGAGTTGCTAGAACCCGTGCAATAATTTTTGATTTGTTTTATAGATTTATTTTTTAATAATATCTTAGTTTTTGAAAATGTGATTCAATATTAAGTAATAAAGGGGACTGGCTTTATTAGGTACATGGCCTTATTTGGGTCAGGTACCTTATAGATAAATAATATTAAAAAAAAAAGGATATTATATAGTCCAAGGTGGATGTCCTTCGTTTATGTAAAGTACATACATAAATCCATCTTTGCATTTACCCTGAATTGAATAATAATATGGTAAAAAGTTGTGTAGTCTAAATCTGAAAAATTTGATTTCTTTTATTGACAATTGTTTATTTTTTTGATTACTTACTTTCTCCTTTCATAAAACACTATGGCAGCCGAATTGGTAGTGAGCACGTGCAAAAAAACCGCTTTCACTTTTCTTCTCTCGGGTGTCGTCAAATTTTTCAATAAAGAATCCAATAATAAAGTAGCTATCCCATTTCTACGATATTCCTTCATCACTCCTAATGATAAAATGTAGGCTACATCACAACTGCTAAACGATTTCGCTAAAATGCCCGCATCTTCTTCGTTCAGACACGAATAGGGTTTAATTTCTGCTACAATCAGGCCTATTATTTGTTGATTGTAAACGGCAGCCAGTGAGTAAAAACGACTAAAATAATTTGTGGATACGAGACACACGTCACAATCATCATTAAACAACTATTTCAATAATCGAATAAAAATATAACTATACCTATTGCTAGAAGTGATTTCCTCGTACCAATAAAATGGGTATTCAATAGGAAACCAGTCCTGGCAAAGCGCTCTGACTTCGTCTAAATCGTTTGGACATAAAAATCTTAATTGTACATCAGCTAAGGAACGCAAACAGATTTCTTTTTTGTCCATTATTCTTGAGTTGTAGCAACAATATGGTAATGTGAATTTTTCATCTGATTGATACCTATAAAAAATTACACCTATACTTAAAATTAATTATTCGACTATTGACTAGAAAATTGTTAGAATAAATACTCATAAAATAGAAACAGAAATGAAGCTTGTGTAATTTTCTAAGAGTAATTTTAAGGGCAAGTTTCACAAACAGTGGTAACCACACTGGTAACCTACAATATATCTGTTTCATAATGTGTAGTTTTGCCAAAACCATTGGCCAAGCTTCAGAATATTCAATGTCGTCAATCTGCAACCATGAGTTTTATAACCAGTGCAGGTTACCACCAATTGTGAAACTGGGCCTAACTGTTTCAAAGGTATTCTCTGTAGGTAAGTAATGTCAAGTGAACTGAATTTATAAACTTGAGTTTTGCATTGCCACTCAAGATACTTTGACTACTGCGCTGTCACCATAGGCTGTCACTCAACTTTTGTCATTGTTTTTAACATACACCTTAACTAGGAACTGGAAAATCATTTGTAATTTAATTTGACTAAAAGCCAAATTGACTGCAGTGGATAATCTTGGAACAGTCCTATTTCAATTGTAATATCTGACGGTCCTGTAGGCTGTGATCGTTATCTCCCAGTTCTAGAGTTTTCCATACCTGTTGATAAAGCTAACTTGCTGAAGCCTCTCTGATCCAGAAATCTTTGATATTTTGAATGCCATCATTAATGACTTAAAACTAGAAAACACAGAAAGGGATGTCTATATTCAGAGACTTAAACGTAACTCGATAGCTATGGTCGAAGATGCTTCGAGGGGTTTTTGAGGGAAATAGAGGTGGACAGAAAAATTTATCACTAGAACAAAAACTTGAAGAGCAGCAGAAAATTATCGATAAGCCCAGGAAAGAAGTAGCTTCAAAAGCTACTCAAGTATAACCGACTGTAAAAAATTCTAAAGTCAAACTGACTCTCTTCAAACCAAAGACAACCAAATAAAATTGAATAAAAAAAATACCACTATTGCAAGAGTTAGAGGAATCAGGCACACAAAATGAAGTAACAAACAGCAGGATTACTATGATTACCTTCGCAGGAACCTCAAGGCTGATTACACTCTACAGATGGTTTGTAAGCCTGGTGCTTAGTTTGACATCATGGTAAAAGACATTGATTATTATATAAAAGACTGCACAGACAATGATTATGTTGTGGTTCTGGTAGGTCCAGGAATTAGGAGGTGTTCACGTTTCTATCTCACAACTGCTTTTTTACATATTTGGTAATATGTTCCACCCCAATAAATAACTTGTCACAAACTTTTTTTTCAACGAACAAAGAAATTTATGACATTTTCCTTAAATTGTATGACCTAAATAACAACAGTAGAGTCATGAATTCGAACAAATTTCTGACTTCATCTTGTTTTGTGCGTAATTCGCCTTATCTAAATAAGATGGGCTAGAATATCATGGCGAAGAGTATTAACGAAACAATCGAAAACTTTTCCCTTGAAAGGCAATCAATTTGATCAAATAATGTTGGTAGTGGGCATCTCTCAGGATCTACAGGTTGGCAATAATAGTAATAATTTTCATAAGGATAGTATTAGTAATAGTAGTAGTTTTACTTGTGAGAGTCCTCCTTGTCTCGAGGATGTAATTTATGTAGAGAAGAGTAGTAGTAAATATGCTTTATTGTCCAAGAATACAAAAAGACTTTGTCGAACGGAAATACTGTGAATCTCTTAGTACCTAGGAATTGTGATAGTGATAATCAGTTATCTCTAGTCAGTCCAGACAAAAAAACTTTCAACTTAATGTTAACAAATATATAAGGTCTGTGTCAAATAAAGTGGACAATCTTTTACTATTTCTAAATTGTTATAAGTTTCTAGAGATAGTTGTTATTGTGGAGAACTGGCTAAAAGCAGATGAGACAATTTACTAAACTATGTTTTAGTCTCTAAGTTTCCTAAATCCCTGTGTTCTCACAGAAGTAATTTAATTTTAGTGTGTGAAGATTTTTTGACCAACTGTTGTGAGTTTGTTCAGATAGATAAGTATGACTACCTTCTTGAGGAGAGAGTGTGTGAGTTTTCAATTGTGTCTTGCGCTAGGCTGAAATTATATGTTTTGGATTTTTACAGGTTCTTAATGGCAAATATAAATCTCTTTATTGAAAAGCTGGATATGTTGGTCTCAGAGATGTCCAGTAATGCTTCGACGATTGTTGTAGGTGACCTTAACATTGACTATTTGAATCAATCCTGTCGAAATGTTGAGTTTCTAAAAAATATTTCAAGCTCTTATAATATCTCAATGCATGTTACCGAAACAACAAGAATAACTCTCATCATTTGGTCAGATGGAAACTCTGTGTTTGACAAATTAATGCTGGATTGTCTGATCATGAAGCAATAGGTCTGTTTCTGCAAAAATCACAAACCAGTCAAAGCGAATTCCATTGGTTGAAAACAGTCGGGAAACTAGTTTCAATCAATGAAATTTTCTCTGACTGGTTTGCGATTTCTGCAGAAACAGACCAGTCAATTCCACTAATCCCAGAAAAATCTTTAAACAAGGCAGACTTTACACCAAGAAAAACTTTAGGAAGTTTGAGTTGCTATGCAATCAAACAGACTGGATAAGAATATTTTCAACTGAAGACTTTTTGGAGTACTTTCATCTAATTTTAAGCAATAACTTTGACATTTCTTTTCTTATTGTCAAGATAAAGCATAAGAGGCCTAATCCCTGGTACATCAGGGGTCTGAGAACATCAGCTGCTAGCTTAAGATCTATGCAATAGATCAAAAAGTTCTATAATCAAATTGAAACTTTTATTAATTATTATAAAATATACCGTAAAACTTACAGAAGGGTGGTTAACGTGGCAAAAAGGTTGAACTGTGGGAATCAAATTGAACAGTGCTGCAATAAAAATAGAGAAACATGGAAACTTGTAAATAAGTTTAGAGGTCGAAATTCGTCCATGGTTTTCTCAAATCTCAGAGCAAATGATTTGAATTCTTTTTACTGTAGCGTAGCTCATGATTTGTCTAGTAAAATTACATCCTAAAAAGAATCTTCAGACTATCTAAGCAATATATCTGTATCTGAGACGTTTTTCCTCTATCCAGCAACATGTGTGGAGATTAAAGATATCTTTAAAAGATTAGAAAATAAGAACTCTTGAGGATGGGATAAAATTTCGCTAAGGGTAGTCGACGCGCATCCAGACTTGGTATTAGATGCACTACACAATGATTCATCAAATTCTCTTAAAAGGGCCCTGATTGTTCCATTGTTCAAGGGTGGAGATCGCGACCTACCTTCCCATTTGTGACAAATTGCACTACTTCCTACCCTTTCTAAGATAGAAAAACTAATTCAAGTTAGACTGACATATTTTCCAACAAAGCATAAACTTCTTAGTATCACACAATTTGGTTGATGCAATTTTTAACTTTTAAAAGCATCTATACGACATACACTTGAACTCCGGAGAAAAGGCTTCGGCAGTGTTCTGTCCAAGGCATTTTTTTTGTGTAGATTACGGAATACTACTGGGTAAACTTAGTATCCATGGTATTAGGGGTTTGACTTTGGAGTGGTTGCGACCATATTTGAGTGGTAGGACTCAGTCAGCTGTTTCCAATGGGGAAAACTCTTCAGCGGAATATGTGAGCATTGGCGTACACTCTTGTTCTTTATTTTTATCAATGACATATCTGGTCTTCCAATAAGGGGAAGATTTACAGCGTTTGTCGATGATCAGACAATTCTATAGCATGACCACGAAGTTGCCGGCTTTCCACCAAACCGACAAAATAAAAACAAAACTTAAACTCAGACAAAACTCTAACTTTTCCCAAATATTTTCAAGATTAACGTGTTTTGCGACAGTGGGAGTTTTTTTTTCGGGTTAATTTTGAGTTTTAAAACACAAACTCAACAGTCCGTTTGGTGAAAAACTGGCATTAGATTATTCAGGAAGATGTATTTTTGTTGAGAGAATGGTTTAATGCAAACCGATTATCCCTCAATATTTTAAACTAATTTTAAGTGTGACATTAACAACATTCAACTGGAAAATGAAGGTCTCTCGAATCCCGAATCGAATAAATTTCCTGGCTTAACATTAGATAAAAACCTTAAGTTTTCTGAACATGTCAAAATTCTTAATAAAAAAATTGCTTTTGGCTGCTATGTACTTAGGGTAATATCAGATAGCCTCGGCGCCCTCAGCCTTGAAATAGCTAGGAATGCCTACTTTTCTTCAATTCCATCACATTTATCCTATGGAATATGCTACTGGGGGTGTTGTGCAAACTCCCTTTTTAAATCCGTACTCATTTGTGTTGCAGAAGAGAGCACTTAGAAATGTATGTAGACTCAACAGGGGATCTCCATGCAGACCTCTATTTCTGCAGCATACAATTTCAACCTTGTGCTGTTTATCTATTCTTGAAAGTTTTGTGTCGTCTTTGAAAAAATTAATAAGGAGCTGAATAGACAAAGGCAGTATGGAGCTCTTCGCTTTCAAGTCTCAAACCGATGTCTCCAGAGCCCCTGCAGTGAAGAGAAAAGCACAATACATGATCACCTTAGATAGTGACAAAATAATTCTGATTTATTTGCCATTAATTTATGATTATTGGATTATTTGATTTCCTATTGTTATTTTGCTCTTCATTATAGAACAAAAGGAAAAAGAAAAATAACAATAGGAAATCGAATAATCCAATAATCAATAAATATTGGCAAATAAATCAGAATCATTCTGTAACTTTCTATGGTGATCATATATTGTGCTTTTCTCTTGGCTCCAGAGGCTCTGGAGACAGCGGTTTGAGGCTCGAAAAATGAAAAATATAGTTCCGAAACGTCGCTGAAAGCTAAGTAGTTTCTTTTGGTTTACCTCCCCGTCCTTAAACCCAAGAAATTTGTACCAGGTTTGTTTTATTTTTCAACTTCTACTAGTGAGTGATATACAGGGTGGCCAATTGAAAACGAAACAGAGGTGATTTCGGGCTCCCCAAGACATTTAAGAAAAAACCCTCGTACCCGTCGATTTTTGATTTAAGGGGGAACCATTTTTTTGGTGTTTTCACCCCCTGGGGGGCAAAGCCCTAGCGGGGGTGACAAGGGCCCCCAAAATTTTAAATGGAATGAGGGGTCGAGTGATACCTTATTTTGAAGCTATTTTTATGTAGATTATAACCCCCGAGTCTCACATCGCTACTATCTACCTAGCCATTACAGGGGCTAATTAAAGTTACAAAAACATGTTGAAATATTTTTATTTAAAAAAATGCTTTAAAAACAAAATCAATCAAGTAAATGCTGAAAATGACCTCAGAAGAAAAAATATAATGGGCTAAAATCTGGAGAACGCGGGGGCCACTCAATATTGACGAGCCACTGCAGCATAATGGGATGACGCACAATCTTGTTGGAATATTAGTGTATGCATCTGTTATCATTCTCTAGTATCTCCACCAATTTTGGATGAATCGCAACTTCTAACCACTCTAGGTACATTTCTCCTATTAAATTTATATGTAAAAAAGGGGCCTATTTACGGTTATCAACAATGCTAGCCCAAACACTCAAATAATCTACATCTCCATAATGCCCTAGGACGTTATTTCGTACGTATTATACCTGGAAATATTGTATGTATACCTGGAAATATTGTATTAAATAAATATTGTATTGAATATAAAAAAATTGTATTAAATAATGGAGTATAATTAAATGGTATTTTAGTTGATGTCCTACTAACCCCCTTTTCCGTTTTATTTCCTCCTCCCTCACTATTGAACAACTCATAACCCAATTATTTTTTTTCAATAAATGAAGCAGCAGTTTGTATATTTCTCTGATGAATGCTCCTTTTTTCTTGAACGGTACGGTAAATCGTCTCAACTGCCGCTATTGGGCTTATTCAAATCCAAGAAAACATATTTCGTGAGGTACATACGCAACATCCCGATAAATTGAGTGTTTAGGCTAGCATTTTTGGTAACCGTATAATAGACCCCTTCTTTACCTATAAATTTAACAGGAGCAATGTACCTAGAGTGATAAGAAGATGCGATTCATCCAGAATTAGTGGAGATACTAGAATGATAACGGATACATGGAAAACCGTCTAATATTCCAATAAAATGGTGCGCCACCCCACTATGCTGCAGTGATTCGTCAATATTTGGACCAAAGGTTTCCAGGACAAAGGGCAATGGATTCGAAGGAGTGGCCCGCGCGTTCTCCAGATTTAAGCCCGTTAGATTTTTTCTTCTGAGGTCATTTTCAGCATTTACTTGATTGATTTTGTTTTTAAAGCATTTTCTTAAATAAAAATATTCTAACATGTTTTTGTAACTTTAATTAGCCCCTGTAATGGCTAGGTAGATAGTAGCGATGTGAGACTCGGGAGTTATAATTTACATAAAAATAGCTTCAAAATAAGGTATCACTCGACCCCTCATTCCATTTAAAAATTTGGGGGCCCTTGTCACCCCCGCTAGGGCTTTGCCCCCCAAGGGGTGAAACCACCAGGAAAATGGTTCCCCCTTAAATCAAAAATCGACGGGTACGAGGGTTTTTTCTTAAATGTCTTGGGGAGCCCAAAATCACCTCTGTTTCGTTTTCAATTGGCCACCCTGTATGTATTATCTATCCGTTCACAATCCGATGTCCACAGGTAGGTACAGGTAAAATCACCTTTCATTGCTATTTGAAAGGTGATAAATTTACCTGCACCCTATCAAATAGCATTGAAAGGTGATAAATTTTACCTGTACCTGTGGACTTCGGATTGTGAACGGATAATATCGTCGCTGATCTGACAAAGGGGCGTAACGGTCAATTATTCCGTATTGGAGTTAAGGTCGCCGAATGATTTCTTAGAGTTGTATGTATGATCTGACAAGAGGGCGTACGCTCAAAGGTATTACTTATTTCTATACATAAAATCAGCTAAAGGCGTAAGTACACAGCAATTGCATATAGGATCTGACTAAAAGGCGTATATCCAAATATTAGACTTACGCCATTTTACCAGTAAAGGTTGATGTAAAAGTAACAACAGTACAAGAAAATCTTTTAAAAATACCAACCGAGGCTTCAGAAAATCCAGCTAGTCCTAGTATCTCGCCTAAAGTACAAATACAAGAAGAACCCGCTCCTGATGTACCTATCAAAAACAAAAAAAACATAGCAGTTAACATGGAAGAAGTATCTGCTGTACCCGAACAAGTTAGGTGGGGTGTGACCCAAAAATTAAAGTTTTAGTGCAAAAAATCTAAGAATAAATATTTAAACCGTATCTTGCTACGATGATCCGTTTTCGAGTTAGGGCGGTTTAAAATCACAACTAGGTGTTTGGGACGTCACACTGAATTATCAGGCACAGTATCAACACTTGTAAGAATTTTCCAAAACAAAAGACAATTATCTAGAGCGAATTGCAACCACTCAAGTATAGGATACATTTCACTGACGACTAAACGAACAGAAGACTGTGATTTCGACGTTTATGACGTAACAAGCTCCTGCATAATTTATCTTTACAAGGAATTTTTTCGAAAACTATTTTGAATGTAGGACTGTGATTTTCACGAGAGATCTTAGATTTTTTTTCTTGATTCAAGTAGCTTAAGTCGTTTTTTAGGGTCACACCCCCTTTAACATACTGCTTTATTGCAATACCTTCAACAAGTTTTGGTGAGATTGACGTTGAAATATAAGTTCGAAGTGCGAAAGGACCCATAAATGGTTGCAAAACAATGTTTTCAAATACTTTGGGTATTTCGGAAAAGATGATGCGCACAGCTTTGAGCAAAGATTGTGAAAAAGGAGTGATTTTGGCTGACAAGCTGGGAGATCGATACAATAATTTCAAAGAAAAAGATATCAAGATTACATAAATGAATTTCCAAGAATGGAATCACATTTTTTCAGAGAATCTACTACAAAAGAATACCTACATCCAGATCTCACTGTTAAAAAGATGTATCATTTATATAACGAAAGTGCAGCAGCTGGGCAGTTAACTTTTTTAAAATCTCTTAATCCGTCTCTCCATCATCCCCAAAAGGATCAGGGCCTCATTCTTGAAAACGCTCACCGCTTTTGAGTCGCTCGGCACTTTATATTTAAAGTAACATTAAAAGTGCCGAGCCACCAAAAGCAGTGAGTGTTTTCGGGAACGAGAATACTGGCCCAGTGCTCTCTATGTATAACCTACAACTCAGTAGATGCTGCAAAGAAAATAGAAATTGGGGAAGCTTACAATGCCCATACTGCTGAGAAAGTCGTAGTTCGACAGAAAAAAAAAGAACTTTCGAAGAATTACCCAAATATTTTTGCTTCTGCCGTTTTTGACTTGTAGCAAGTAATCCAACTTCCAATCAGCAATGATAGTGTAATATTTTACAAAAGTCGGTCGGTTGTCAGCATTTAATTTTACAATCTATAATATTAGGAATAAGGAGTGCTTATGCTCTCTATGGAACGAAACCCTCAGTAATCGAGGAGCTAATGAAATATCGACTTGTGTGGCTGACTCGGTGGCTGAATATCTCCAAGAACTCGACCGCGACGAGAAGTGAGGCTTTTTGCAGATGGTTGCGGCAGCCAGAACAAGATTACGATTGTATTTTCGATGTTGCTCTATATAATAAGAAATACCAAAAACCTTAGGGAGATTTCGTTATGTTTCTTTGAAACAAACCACGAGCAAAGTGAAGGAGATGCCACCCACAACTCTATATGTCTACAGCAGGAAATATTTTTATACTGGCACAACTGCCTCCAATTTTAAAAGTAGCCCGCCGATCCCTTCCGTATAATGTCAATATAATGGAAAACACCGATTTTTACGATTTTGAATAACTTTCTGAGAAAATATGTCTACCATCCATTGGCCACCCGCAAATTCCACAATGGCAATAATGTTGACTGGGCTAAAGTAAAGGAAGTCAAGGTGGAAAAAGTTAATGATATACAGCGCTGGTTGAAAATAGTCGTCTTGATGAAAATTACAATAATTTGTCTCTCAAGAGAAATACCCTAAATAAATGACACGCAGCCTTCACAAAAATGTAACAAGTCCCTAATTAAACCCAAATTCGAAAAATATAAACGTTTTATGGACCTTTGTAAAGAACCAACACCACTAGTGAAGAACCCAACTTTTCAAAAATATTTTAGATATCTTCCTCACGAGAACTAGTGTTTAAGTTATCTGGATACCTACTTATTTAAAACCTTTGTTTCCGTATACTTCGAATCCTATTTTATTTTTCAATATTTTTTCCTGTTTTTTCTAGAGTATGGTAATCAGAATAAAAACTATAAATACAACATTGGCAATAAATAATATATTATACTGGCGTATGTGTGTAAATTATTTTTACGAAGATCCTACAGAGGGGTGTATGTCCATTGGCTACTAATTTTTCTATCATAGCTAAACATTATGGAAAATGTGTTATATTACCCTGAAAGTATGACAATTTATCTGCCTCAGTAAATATCTGTACACCAAAAAATATATATTCGAACAGAGTGGTAGCTCCCTAATTAACAACACTTTTTTTAAATGGCAATCCTGTAAAATTATCTATTTGTACCTTACACCCCTTTGTTAGATTAGCGACGAATGTGCAATTATTTTTACGCATGGCTTTGTCAACAAGTACTATGTATTTAGACAAGTGCGAGGACAAGTGAAGCTACTTTTAAATATGAATTTTTCGGATTTGGGTATCCCAAGGTCTCATCTGGGCCCGTTCTATTCAGCTTTATTTATCAATGATTTAGGATCGTTGCTCCCTCTCTGAAGTTGTATTGTCAAGTGATGTCAGCTGAAGACATACTTATTCTGCTAAAAGATCTTATCATTGTTTTGTATTATCAGTTTTTGCGGTTTCTTAACATTGTAGTGTACTTCTACCTATTTATCTGTTTTGTTGGAATTGCTTTGTTATATTTTGTATCATTTTGCTGGCAAATAAAGGATAACAAAATAGGCATTGTTATTTGCAATTTGCTGATTTCTACCTATTTAGGTACTTGAAAAGTACTTACCTTAAGTATTTCTACTTTTGTATACCTAATAGTGTTCAATAACAAATACAATTATTATTACATAGGCTGATTCTAGCTGATAAGTTGCTATTAATAGAGGTCCATTCCTAACATTTAAGTAGATTAATACAAGTACCTATTAAGAGATAAATTAGTCTATTTTTCAGGTACAGACTTTACATCGGAATTGAGATCTTGATAAATGGATGTGGGTGGATGTTTCAATTTCAATCAATATTGTCAAGTAATAAATAAATGACAATTTATTATTATTATTATTCTGTCTGACAACCTATAATTTTGGCCTTCAAGGAGAATTATCACATAGTTTTATTAAGTGTTGAGTGGAATAATATGGATAGAATTTATAGCTCTACCTTACAACAAACTTTCCATTTCCTTGTTCACTTACCAACTAATATCAGCCATTTGAAACTAATTCGAATTTGTTCACTCAAACAAACAGTCGTTTCTTTTTCATTGTAGTACAACAAATTTCTTCCAGTTTTCATTCAAACATCTAACATTATTTTCTAATTGAAAATGTCCTCAGTCTTTATTGTGAAATCATTGAACATTTTAATTTAATTTTGATTTTGATTGTAATCATTTACCTTTAATTTTGCAATAATAATAATAACAATGCGCATGCGCAATTGTCAAAAAGCGCATGGTAACTGTCAAAGATTATTTGTTCCGTTTTGGTTGGAGTAGAATAGCTTCACTAACTGCACTCAAAAGCTTTGTTCGCGAATCATATTCGGAACAAGTTCAGGATTGTTCCCCAAACGATTCCGGAGCAGGAAACGGAAACTCAAAACATTGCTATGTGAATATAGCCGTATATAAACTCTAGTAGACATAACTGCAAATTTTTTTTCTCTGTGAAAATTTCATCCCTAAAGAACTGCAAATTTTTCCTCACAAAAAGTTAGGAATAACTCGCGACCTGTCAAATTTAAATATATTTAACCAATAGAAAAAGGTCCGCGAAAAAAAATCCTACTAGGCTTGAAACTGAGCAACTCTCGAATTTATGGTTCCTAGAACCGGTTGGCGTAGTTCAGAACAGATGAACCGCGTATAATAATTTGTCGGCAAAAGGCATTTCTAGGGGTAAACGGCCTAAACGGGGTAAACAGAAAAGGCAGTGGATAGGGGTCCGAAAATTCGGATCTCTAGTGTTCATACTAAAGTTCCGATAATTCTCAGATTTTCAATTTGTACCAGGTGTCCCACTAAGGTCGGCCAGGTACGATATTATGGAAACCATAGACTTCGGCTTCGGGATTTTTTTTTTCTTCACCAAATGGGCCAAGAGAAATTGATGGAAATTATTTTCAAGTTTCTAGGATGACCGCTAGGGGGCGCAATTACGATGATATAGCTACAGTGACTTTATTACCACAGTGGCGACAATTGCGGTCTCATTTTTGATTGGTTCAAAAATCCCATATGTTTATATTGAAAATGCCGCCATCTTGTTCCCAACCTCTTGTTACTTTTAAATATGAATATATAGGATTTAGGTGAACATCCATCATAAAACATGGAAAACAACCCCAGCCAGCAAGGGTACGTCATATTGACGTCCTTATATGGTGATAATTCGTCAATACTCGTCACCTGACCAAAAACTGACGACATATTGACGTGTGATAAATGCCGTTCAAATGACGTGCTTTTTATCACGTAATATTGACGCGTTTTTCTGGTGATAAATGTAATACACATTGACGTCAATATATATCATGTAATATTCACGTATTTTGCTTGTGGTTCAGTAAACCTGGTTTTTTGAATTAGTTTTCTTTTTTCAATGTGTTTTGAATGTATTCCTAGAATTCCTAGGGTTGTGCCGTGTATACTGTATTCTATAGTGAATAGGAGACAAAGTGATGATACAAATCATTATTTTTTTTCGCATTTGTAACTACTCACGAAAATTTTGATCGAATCGAATGCGAATAATACCCCTACCCTCGCATTTTTTCGACATCCTGTTTTTTAATTTTTACTACAGCAAAACTTTGATGCGTTTGAAAACACATCTTTGAATAAAAATTAAATGGAAAACTCCCATAGTTCATACTCATAGTTCCATCTCTGACTTTCAAATAGTATAGAAATAAACGGTAGAAACTGTGGAAAGGCCAGAAAGGGGACGTATTTGGTTTGTTTTTGTGTTTGGTCAACGGTTTGGTGAATGCGGAAATTACTGTATTCCTTTGATACATCGAGTGACACCGAACAAACACCGAACGAAAAACGTTCAAGCTTCTGACTTTGAGCAGCTCCGAGTAACTCAACGGGAAAAAGGAAAAGAGTAAATACAAATACACTCACTCCTGTATTTTTTTTGTTTCGAAATTCTAGCATTAGTTTAGTATTAGTAAGGGACAACAATAAATATTGCATCGCCGCGTGGGGAAACGAATATGCTATTCAGCGAATTCTATTGGTAGAACCAGTGCAGAAAAATGTTTTTTTATCTCTTTCTTATAGAAGTCGGTAGAAAAGACACGAACACACTCAGTGCGCACTAACCCTTCCAATTCGCTACTGTGTGTGTGACTGTTGACGTTGATTGTTGTGAGGGAGTTTGTTGAGGTTATGTTGTGGTTGTAGCATGGCGTGGTCGTGTTTCATTTGGTTTTCCCTCGCTTTTTGCTTTCTCATTTCCCGCCAAGTTTCCCTCATTTCTTTTTTACGCAAGTATCGCGTGGAATTATTAATTCTTGATATATTTTTCGGTTTTAATTTCTCTTCAGAATCATCCTGCTGCATCCAAGTGAAACGCCTCTATATGAATGTGAGTTTTATTCACGTGTTTGTGTTGAGACTAATAACAATCACCAACCGTAAGTATATGTCTTTTGTTTTAATATACCTTATTTTATATTATAATATACATTATTATTATTGCTTGTTCACCTAAGGGCCAACTTATGGACCAACAGGTAAGTGTCTGGTTGTTACCTCACTTAGCAAGTACTACAAGTAATATGTTTAATACGCCTACAGAATATTTATATTGTCTTTTTTTAAATATATTTTTCTCAAAAGTGATATAGTGTTGGTTCATTTTCGTTACAGGTCATATAAATTTGAAAAAACAAGGATTTATAGAAAATATATCAGGTAAATATGACGTCATTTATAAAATAGATATCACGCGAATGGAACGTTATTAATACGCCAATATCACGTTAAATAACTCATAAACTTGACGTCAAATAACACGTAAAAATGACGTACCAACTATGACGTCATTCGTCCCAGACATTAGGAAGTCATTTTCACGTCATAATTAAGTCATTTAGCTCGTCATTTCTCGTCACTTGATGACCAGTATTTAACGTCATTTTCACGTGCTGTTGTTACTTGGGACGTATTTGATGAACCTAATAATGGTCATCAAATATGCCGATTTTAATTTTTTATGATAGATGTCTATTTAAATCTTATATATTAATATTTGAAAGTAACAAGAGGTTGGGAACAAGATGGCGGCGGGAACTCTATTGTCGCCACTGTATGTAAAGGTTTATTTAGCCACTGTAGATATAGCTACAGTGGCTAAATAAACCTTTACATACAGTGGCGACAATAGAGGTCCCGCCTCCATTTTGTTCCCAACCTCTTGTTACTTTTAAATATGAATTTATAGGTTTTAAATGGACATCTTTCATAAAAAATTGATATCGACGTATTTGATGACTATTATTAGGTCCATCAAATATGTTATTTTCCATGTTTTATGATGGATGTTCACCCAAATCCCCCAAATACCATATATTCTTATTTGAAATAAGCAATAGGTGGGAACAAGATGGCCGCGTTTTCAATATAAATATATGGGATTTTAGAACCAATCAAAAATAAGACAGCAATTGTCGCCACTGTAGGTAATAGAGTCACTGTAGATATAGCTACAGTGACTCTATAACCCACAGTGGCGACAATTGCTGTCTTATTTTTGATTGGTTCAAAAATCCCATATATTTATATTGAAAATGCCGCCATCTTGTTCCCAACCCCTTGTTACTTTTAAATATGAATATATGGGATTTAGGTGAACATCCATCAAAATCATGGAAAACAACGTATTTGATGGACCTAATAATGGTCATCAAATACGTCGATTCCAATTTTTTATGATAGATATCCATTTAAATCCTATATATTAATATTTAAAAGTAACAAGAGGTTGGGAACAAGATGGCGGCGGGGACCTCTATTGTCGCCACTGTATGTAAAGGTTTATTTAGCCACTGTAGATATAGCTACAGTGGCTAAATAAACCTTTACATACAGTGGCGACAATAGAGGTCCCGCCGCCATTTTGTTCCCAACCTCTCGTTACTTTTAAATATTAATATATAGGATTTAAATGGACATCTATCATATAAAAATCCTTCGGAGTCGTTTCGTGACAGGTAAAAGTATTATCCGGTAATCCTGAAACTTCTTGTGGTATTACATTCGATAATTTCATTGCTATCAGAACACCACTTCGTCGATTGTTCCCACAGCGTCTTCTAGAGGCCGCTGTTTATTCAAGATACAGTTTTTTCTAATTTTCATGAAAAATCCAAATGGCATAATATTATTTTTGTATTGCTGTGCTTAAAGAGCAAAAAAAATATCTACATTTTGGCGCAAACCGCAATTCAATATCTGCATTCGTTTCCAAGTTACGTAGGGTCTATGGTCTCCATAATATCGTACCTGGCCGACCTTAGTGGGACACCCTGTATATTAGGGGTCCGAAAATGCGGATCTTCAGTGGTATTATTGAAGATCCGAAAATAGATGTTTATTTCTAATTCTGTCATAATTAAGGAATATTATACCATTTCAATAAAATTGATAAAATGGGTACATTCAGGCGGTCCCAGCAGCTTAGCTCAGCCTCTCAGCAAGAACTTTATTCTCGAAACCAAGAAACAGCGTTCTTATTGGAATGATAGTTCTGTCTTTGTCCTCCGGCATAATACTGACAATGACAGAGCAATTGTTTTTATGAGAACGCAGTTTCTTGGTTTCGAGAATAGAGTCCCTGCTGAGTGGCTGAGCTTAGCCGCTGGGACCGCCTGAATGTACCCAATGCTTGTATTTTTAAGTATTTATACTAGAAAAAATGGACCCTCTAATTCTTTTTATGTAGAATAGCTAACCAAGTTTACTCGAAAATATTTGGTTGGTGCAATTCAAACAGAAAAGTACAAAAACCAAAACTAAGTACCTTTTTATTTTTTTAAAACATTACATAATAAAAAATAAATATTTCTTCATTTTAAGGGTTAATAGGGTAAGAGGTGTGAGGTGTGATTTAGTTCCTTCTGCACTGCATGCAAAACCAGGCTTTCTTACTAGAAGGCAGTTTTGTTACTGAGCAACACACTTTATGCTTACACCGAAGACATGAATCACACCGTAAGCAATCTTCATGTATCACTTTGTTACATATATCACAAATCCATTGTAGAATACCTACTATTTTGTTTTTCTCCAATTCGTTTTTGTAATGAAACATAAGAATCCAGACAAAAATATGCTTCTATTTCTGCTAAAGATATTTCTTTTTCAAGAAGAAGTGGATCAATTTGTTGATGATGAGGAATGTTTTATTTCTCATTTTTAAAGTTTTTATGTAGGTAATGCTT